ACTAATTATGAAATTTTATAGTAAGGGGAAACAGGTGATACTGCACGGGAAACATGGGGGCGACGTAACGATGATTTGCACACAACAAATGGAGAAGGTTTTGCATAAAGTATATAGCTGCTTTTTGGTACAACTTGAGCAGCAAACTAAGGGAGAGCCAATAGAATTTGAAGATCCAAACCTACTTCCTTTACTTGTTGAATTTTCAAATATATTTGACGAACCGCACAACCTACCTCTTACCCGTCGGCATGATCATTATATAACGATTCTTCCAAGCAAACCTCCAGCAAATACTCAGCTATATCAGTATCTATATCTCTAGAAGGATGAAATAGAAAGGATTTTAAAAGAGATGCTCAAAATAGGAGTTATTCGGCCAAGTTGCAGCTTATACTCTTCACCAGTGCTACTTATACGCAAGAAGGACGGAACATGGCGAATATGCGTTGATTACCGAGCTCTCAAGGGCATAACCATCAAGGATAAATACCCTATTCCAGTAGTAGATGAATTTTTGGATGAAAGGGAGCACAAATCTTCAAAAAGCTGGACCTTCGATTCAGGTATCATCAAATACGAGTATGCGAAGGAGACATACTGAAAACAACCTTTCGAATACACAACGACCACTATGAATTTTTACTTTCTTCAATAAAAGGTGGAATATCTTGGGCATATCATATCAGAGGAAGGTGTGACGGTGGACCCCTCCAAAATAGAAGCAATGCAGAACTGGCCAACCCCGAGGAACATAAAATTGCTACGTGGCTTTCTCAGTTTAATAGGCTACAACCGCAAGTTCATGAAAAACTATGGAAAGATCAGTGCACCACTCACTTCTCTATTGAAAAATGATACCTTCTAATGGTCGGACAAAGCCTCCGCTGCCTTCGACAAATTTAAGGCAACCATGACGACGATGTCGGTGCTAGCGCTACTAGATTTCAGCCGACCCTTCATCATTAAGGCCGATGCATCTGGAGTCGGAATTGGAGATGTTCTCATGCAAGATGGTCGACCACTCACATATACTAGTAAGGCATTATCTCTCTCCCATCAAAACATGTCAACATATGATAAGGAGATGCTCGCCATTGTGCACGCAGCAACGAGGTGGAGATTGTACTTGATCGGGCGATGCTTTCAAATCAAGACCGACCATAAAAGCCTAAAATATTTTTTGGAGCAAAAGATATCCATCCCCTGAGCAGCAAAAATGGATAATAAAACTTCTTGGATTTGATTATGAAATAACTTATAAAAAGGGGAAAGAGAATGTTGTTGCAGATGCGCTTTCGTAACTACCCGAGCAAGCTAAATTTTTGACCGTTTCACTTTCGACCAGCAACTTTCTTGAGGATATTAAGATAGAATGGAAGGAAGATCCGGAGACCAGTAAGATCATAAAAAAATTGGAGGAAGCACTAAGCTTCGTAGCTCATTACAATTGGGACTCAAAAAAATTACGCTATAAGGGTTGCACTGTGCTTATGACAAATTCTACTTACATCTTTACGACGAGATTTTGGACAAAGTTATTCCATATGTAGGGTACTAAATTGAAAAGGATACGACATATCACTCATAAACTAACGGCCATACGAAAATTATAAATAGGTGTTTGGAGACAGCCCAAAGCCACCCACCAAATATGACTACCCAAGGAGAACTCTAGACCTAGCTAAGTGCCATTATTGATCAACGGATCGTGACTTGATGATAACGACCCACTACTGAAGTACTAATACAGTGGGTGAACCTACTAACAGAAGATGCCACTTGGGAGAACTATGACAACTTGAAGATCAAATTCCTAGAATTCATGAATTGTCAGCCTCGAGGACAAGGCTGATTTGAAGAGGCGGGTCAGTTAGGACTCTAGCTAGGAGAGTCCTAATCGAGAGGGATATTCATGTAAAACCTACCTAAGCCGACCCCTATTAAAGAGGTGAAGAGGCCGACTAGGGTTAGGAGGTTGTTTCTTAGAGAAGAATTAGGAGTTGTAAAGGAATAAGAGTCTTGAGTAGGAGTTCTATTAGGAGTTGGTTAGAAGTAAGAGTCTTGAGTAGGAGTCTTATTAGGAGTTAGGGTTTAGAAGCCCTATAAATAGCAATGTATTCCTTCTCTTTTCACAAGCAATAGATGAATCTTTTCTACAGCCTTTGAGCAGCAACTTAGAGGGAGAAACCCCTATAGAGTTTCAAGGAGGTCGATCCCCTAAAGAGATCAACCCAAAGTTTAGAATCTATTGAAAAATACCAAAAAATCAAACAATAGACCGGAAGGGCATATAACATGTTGAAAGCTTGATAAATATGCTAGATATGTGGTTGATTTATCAAAGTCTTGATCGAGGTCATTTTTTATCAATTTGAGTTGATATTGAGTCGAAACAATGCTAACTTGTCAAGAAAATTATTGGGCTTGAAGCTATTAAATCTCAAATTTTGATGATGAAATAAATTGATGAGTTTACGTTCTAATCTGCATTTTGAGAAAAGTGATGTGAGACTAACTTCGATCATGAAAAGGGAAAACGATTGAAGCAGAAGAATCAGATGTTGGGCCGGAGTCAAAGACCGGGTATCGAGCTGGAAGAATCATATATTGCGCCAAGATTGGATATTGTGGGAGTCAACATACCGAATGATCGAGCATTATACCAAAGGAAAGCACGATACACCGGGAGTTACATGCCAAACAATATAGATTTCTTGTCTTATAATTGTTTATATCTTGAGTGTTATAGTTTATATTTAATTGAGTTAGTTTTGGGTATAACCATGCTAACTCAATTAGGAGCGCATTGGGCCTGAATTTGGACTAATTTGGGCCTATTGGAAGGTCCATTCAGTAATGGTTTAAGTCCACGATCGAAATATATTTTTGAGTCGTCTATCTTTTCAAGATTATATTAGTCCAATAAATTTATCAATTAATTTATCATTAAAATTTAACAAAATAAATTAGAATAATAATACCAAGATCGAGCATGGTAAAACCTTGGTTGAGGAGAACATTTATGGGCAGTTACAAGGTATTCACGAGAGTACAATATTTTTTTCTAATACAAGAAGAAATAGAACATTTTCTCCCTTTTGATAGAAAAAACTGATGAAGAAAATCTCACAGAGACGAGAAATCAAAGGAACCAAACGAAGCAATTGTTCACTTGTCTTTTTCTATATAATAATCTTGCTTATAGGACAATGTATTTTCTGCTTCTTTTGGAAGAAAAAAAAATCACAAATGTATTATGGTATGAATAAATTTATTGCTATTTTCATATTCAAACTCTTATATTTTAAAATTAAGATAATTTGAATTTCAAATACATAACCCTAAGTTATTCATATCCAAATTTTCTTCTATTAAGTATCTACATGTCCTCCATTGCAATTATCTAATTGATCCATAGTATATATACTTGGTTCACCTAAACCGAGTCTACATAGGTTTAGCCTACGTATTGACGTTGGCTTAGGGAAAGTTACTAAACAAATAAATCTTTAAATGAAAAAACTTGTCTCTTTCTATAAGTGACATTTCCATGGATAAACCTTCGAGCCAATTCGAGCTGTTGAATTAGAAATCTCTCTCAGATTTCTCAGTATCTTATTATGGTCGGTCAGAGCGATGATGTCGGACACATATTGAAGGCTCATTTTAAAGTGACTCATCCTAAAAAAAATATCCACCCAACGAAAATATAATTCTCGGATCACGATTGTTCTTAGAAATTAGGTCAGGTCCAGTAATATGGATGGCTGACCAATTTTGATCCTAAAATTGCTACAGGAAAAATGCACAAACATGATAAATTCAATTCTCGAAACATGATAACTCTCATAAAATTGGATCGGATTGACTCGTCTCAATGATCAAATCTAACTCTCTCTCATTGCTACAGAGAAAATGCACATGTTCTTGCGTAATCTGCAATTTGTAGTATGAATCCACCACCTCTTTGTCAATCTGCTTCTAGATAAAGTCCAAGTCACAAACTGATGACATCGATGGCGATCACTGTAACATTGACAAGGAAAAGGATAATGATGATAAAAGTTCGATAGGATCTGACATGTGAATTAGTTCGCTTTTGTCAACCATGACTTCTCAGTCTAATTATGTCCCGCTTCACATTGTTATGTCTGTCCTCAGCCAAAGCTAATTTTCTTCAGCACTGTCATGCAATTAATTTCCTTCTCATTCATCAATCTCTGCCTCCTCACTTGCAGATCCATTCATTACATGATGAATTTGAATTTGAATTTGATGATATATATATATAGCAAAATAACTTAAAATAAAAAAAATTCATTAAAAAAAATTATGGTCTCATAAAAGGAAGCCATACCCTTATTTATAGTGGAGACTAAATATATTAGGATCCATCATAAATTTATTTAAATCAGTCATCCTAAATCAATTAAAATTTTATCTTGGTAAATATAAATTAATTTAATCATTAATATTATCTTTGACACTCCTCCATAATGTTAATATCTTTAATTATAATTTTGTCCCTTCAAAATAAAAAAAATTCTCCGCTTGCACAGGTTGATCATTTTTTTTTTTGGAACATCGAAAATTTGCGATAGATTGAATTCTTGAGAATGGTAATTGTCAAAATGTTTTCGATATCTCTCATCAGAAAATAAAAATTCATCATCCTCAATCTATTTGAATCAGTATTGCTTCTTTCTCATGTAGATAACAGTGGATCACTGATGATGACAGAATAGACCAAGCTGATGCTAAGCATCATAAGAGCAGATCACATTCCGATTTATAGTCTAGATTTCTCTTTAGTATTAGAAATCATCTTAATCCCATCTAGATTAGGTATTACATATTTATTAAAATCTCATCTTAACAATCCTAAAGTAATTAAATTTGACCGGAATCAACATTATATAAGACTTAAACAAAGTCATTCAGATACTGCCAAAACTACAAGGAATTACGGTATCAGAACATTTCAACTTGTGGCACAAGCTTCCAATTAATCAACCGGAGCCATTCAAGGTAGACCAATCTATATCTATCCATGAAGAGATGCCAGGTCCTGAATCAAGGAAACCTTTGGTGGAGCAGAAGAGACGGATCAGAAACATCCTATGGAGAGTTCAGTACTCCTCGGCTCCGCGATCCGGGAGATGGAACGAGCGTCTGAGCTCACAACAAAGCTTCAGTCCCTTGTTGAGCTTGGCGACTGCAGTGACACGGCGAAGGAGTCGGCCGGGGTGCTCTCCGAGGAGCTACTGCAGGCCTGCAATGTCACTCTCTCCATGTTGAAGTCCCGGAGAACCAATGTCAGGATCAAGTCTGGAAGTCGAAACGTCGCTCCGCATGATGTTCTTATCCGAAGAGATTCAAGAAGAAAGTAAGTTCTTCTTACTGAGCAATCATACAAATGTATTTAAGAAACATTTCTACTGATTGAAAGGTGATTTCATATGCTCCCTTTTCCTTCTTTGTTTCCTATCAACAGCTACGTGCGACAAGAGGTAACAGCTGCACCTTTTAATGATGGACACCAATGGAGAAAATATGGGGAAAAGACCATCGCTGGCTGCATCTTTCCGAGGTTTGTGGCATCAATTATCCAAATTATATATCCTGTAACTGAGACATGTGGGAATCATTCTATTAAACCTGTCAAAGCTAACTAATTAGGGGTATAGATATTATCTTCTTTATCTTTTTATTCTTGATCAATCAGCTGTATTTGGCATCCTACGTACAACCTTCACAGCTTGTTGTTCTACAGGGGCTACTACAGGTGCACCTACAGCAAGGATCAAAGATGTGAAGCGAAGAAGCATGTGCAACAACAGGACTGTGGCGTCCCTTCGTTGTTTCTCGTCATCTACAAGGGAGAACACACATGCAAATCTATGGTGCTGCGTGGCTGCCAACCACTAGAACAGCTGCAACTGCAGGGCTGTCGAGAATACACCTGCAACCCTTCCTTCCCCTTGAAGCTTACAGCAACAGCAACTCCACCAGCTCACTCATTCTCGCTTCGATTTGATTCAGAAGATCGTTTCTCCGGCATGAATACTACGAGGAAAAGTGTCGATGAAGGAACCATTAGATGGCAGGGTGAGGAAACACTACAGTCAAGCTTGTCGGCTGTAGTCACTTCATCAAGCAAGGTTGCATCGCCAGATCTAACGTTCCTTGAATCCATGGAAACACTACAGTCAAGCTTGTCGGCTGTTCATGACGTTGACGACGAAGGCTCACTAAGATCACTCGGTTTCGACATTGACTTGTTGCGATCTGATCTTGATGACATTGATTTATCCTATAATTCTGCGATAAATTAAGAGGTTATCATGAGAAAGAGACTTAGAGAGAGAGAGAGAGAGAGAGAGAGGA